AGGGGAGCGCTGAATGGCACTGTTGCTGGCCACCCGAGGGCGGGTACCGCGCGGGGGGGCGGGGCTATGCTAATAAGCAAATAGAACACTGTGTGGGACTCCGGGGCCGGGCGACACGCGGGTTTCCAGAGGCGACTTGGTGACGCCAAGGAGGCGTGATGCTTTTCGCGAGTTCGAATCCCGAGTGGGGGCTCGAGTTCGAATTCCAAATCCTAGATGTTGGGCCTCGCTTGCGGAGCGGGAAGAACGTCTCCTCTTGATCAGTCGCGCGACCTACAGGACACTAATAATAAATGCTCCCTTTTGTTGTACCCTCTGCATAAGGCTAGGGGAGAAATGATAAAATCCCCATTTTACAGAGGTGGAGATTGAGTCTCAGGTCAAACCCAAGTTCATTCGCCCAAGCCTGTCCCATAATTCCCAGGGTTTCTCAATTTCCTAACCCCTAAGCCTCCTCCCATATGGAAGGATCCAGAATCCTGCAGGACCTGGACCCCTGGGATGTGCATTTTTAACACGTTCCCCTGGTGATGTTGGAAAACATTTAATGTCTCCAAAAGCATCCAGAGGTCATGAGGGGAGAGTTTTTTACATAGGAGGATGCAGCCACCATATTCTGGACTTGAGGAACTGTGCAACACTGCGGTTCTGTGATCTGAGAGCTGCTGGCCTCCCAGCTGGGTGCCCCAGGGCTCCTATCATCCCTGTAGGAACCTCCCTGCTCATCCCCTGCAGCGCACAGAGAGAACCAGGTGCCTGGGGGGCCATCTCACTCCACAGCCTACTTATCATCAGAGGAATTACTGTCTGAACTAGAGTCACAAACTAGTGGCTCCCCAGGCTTACTGTCTGAACAGGGTCTCAAGCTCACATGGTCCCTGGGTGAGATGTGGTTCAAACAGCCTTTAAAAATTCTAAATTCATTGCCACCATTTAAAAATCAGGCGATTTCTTTTGATGTTGTAAAACGTACTTTCTAAAAAGATGAATTGTTTAAATGCTATGGCAACCTGACTTGCAAAAAAAAAACTGCAAAAAAAGTAGAATCATTAAATTGTGTCCCTCTATTACACACACACACAAAAAAAATCAGGCAAGTCACAAAAAGAAATCCAGATTTCCAGGTGCTCTTGAAAAATCAGAAGGTCTGGTGATTCCTGCAGCAGCTAGGTGCAGGAGCTGGATGAAGCAGCTGCACAGCTTCAGGCAGGGTCAGGACTGGGGTGAGGCAAATGAAGCATTTTCTCCAATCCCTTGCCATCAAGATAAATACTATGTTAATGATATCTTTTTAAATTTCAAATTAAATGCCGAAATAATCCAGGATGAACAAAAATACTGTACCAAATTTTTCAAGAAAGACAAAATATGCTTCTGCACTTGTGCAAACCATCGTCCTTGCCTTTCCTTAGCCCGGGCCCTGTCAGATCCTATCCTTATCTAAAAGATTAATGCATTGTTCACCACGGCTTCCTTTGCATTAAATAGTGCATTAAGGCTGGCCAGTGTGGGCTCAGTGGTTGAGTGTCGACCCATGAATCAAGTGGTCACCAGTTCAGAGCACATGCCTGGTTGTGGGCTCAATCTCCAGTGGGGGGCGTGCAGGAGGCAGCCAATCAAATATTATCTCTCATCATTGGTGTTTCTATCTCTCTATTCCTCTCCCTTCCTCTCTGAAACCAATAAAAACAGATTTAAAAAAAAATATGTTTCTTGATGGCTGAGATTTTTGGCAAGTCCCCCCCCCTTAAATTTTGCACCCATGTTGAGTGTCTTGCACTCCTCACCTAGTCCTGGCCCTGCTTATAAGTTCGTAAACAGCTCTGAGCCATTTAGCAAATGGAAAAACCAAAGCCCCGTAGGTTCCTCTCCAGGTAAGATGGGGCTCTTAGTGCCTGCCTGTTCCCCTCAACTGATTGAAATAAGAGTAGTGTCATCAGGGCTTGTGTGGTCTCCTGCGGGGACCACAATGTTCCCATGACATCCCAGTGTCCTTGTCATAAAAGCCCAGACTCTTCCCACAGCCCACTGGGCCCTGTTTGACCCTGCTTACCTCTCTGATCTCCTTGGCTACCACCCTTCCGTCACTCCTCTCCTGCCACTCTGGCCTTCATTGGTTCCTGCCTCAGGGCCTTTGCACATGCTGTTCTCCCAGCCTGGTGCTCTATCCCAGATCATCCTCTTCGAGCTGCCCTCTACTTCGCCTTCATGTGTCAGCTCAATGTCACCTCCTGAGTCAGCTTAGCCTCCTAACCACCTGGACTCCTGTCCTCATGTCACTTTTGTATCCAGGTTTCCCTTCTTCACAGCATGTATCTGAAATGACCCGATTCAGTTCTTTGGTGTGTGTATGGGGGATGTCCTCTCCCCCAGTAGGTTATAAGCTCCGAGAGAGCAGGGACCCTGGGGTTTGAGTCAATCATTGCTTTGTGTCCAACATCCAGGAAAGGGCCAGGCACATAGTGGGTGCCTATTACATACTGGATGAATGAATGAATGAACGAACAAATGAATGGATGGTGTCTCAGTTCTTCCTCCCAGCCTGTCCCTGAATAGACTTTATCTCTTCCTGCTGAGACACCTGCCTGGCCTAATCTGAATGGGTGTGAAGGAGGCTGGAGTAGCAGATGGGAAGTCACATGGGGCAGGTGGGGGGAGTGGGGGAGGGCAGTCCCTCCCTGCTCAGTCCCCCTGCCCCGGCATCTGTGAGTACCCCTACTCACCCGCTCTGTGAGCCCTGCAGGGAATTGCCTAAGTTCACAGATAGTCCAGGGAAGGTGTCCCAGGTAACATGTGCAGAGGGGCCTGGGCCAGAACACAGGGCCAGTGTTCTCAAAGCCCCGTCGGAAGCCCTGGAGCCCAGATTGCTCCTGCCTCTCCTTCCTTCCTCATGGCCCTCTCCACCTGTCACATCCCATCCATCACCTCCCTACACCCACAAGGCTCACTGCCCACCAGCCGCCCCTCCCTTCCTCATCCCCATTACTTACCCCTGTCCCTCACCTCTTCCATCCCTCACCTCCCCATCTTTCATGTCCTCTTTTACAGATACATCCCATCCATCACCTCCCTACACCCACAAGGCTCACTGCCCACCTTCAGCCCCTCCCTTCCTCATCCCCATTACTTACCCCTGTCCCTCACCTCTTCCATCCCTCACCTCCCCATCTTTCATGTCCTCATCTTTTACAGATGGCCAGCTGACCCCCCAAAGAAGGACCACTGGTGCGGAATGTAGGATCCACTTCTTTATTGCAGGAAAGACTATTTCTAGAGCGAATGCTACACAGACCCCACAATGGGGGTGGGGGTACCCACGGAGGACGGGAGGACGGGCAGGAACAGGATTACAGCAAGCACGGCCTGGCACGGTCCCCAGACCCAAGGATACCCAGGCCCAATAGCCAAATAGCCAGGGCAGGCTCTGCCCCCTCCTGCTGCAGAACCTCTTAGTCCCCAGGGTCAGGGCAGGGCCTGAGGCAGGAGAAGCCTGGAGGGGCGGGGCCCCAGGGAGATTGTGCTATCAGGGTGTGTCCCTGAGAAAGGGCCGCAGACCAGACCCGGTGCCCAGCCTCACCCACTCAGGCACCTTCAAGGCCCAGGAACCACTCCCGGGGTGGGGGAGGGAGCAACACCAGCTGTTGGTGGGTCCTGGACCTACCACAGGATACGGGGACTCAGCTGTACTCAGACAGGATGCTACCAACGCTTCCATGGACTCATCCATGTGCCTGGCAGTCACACACACACACACACACACACACACTCCCTCTCTCTCATAGTGTGTCCCTTAAACATTTGTGGCGTAAGCAGTCACATGAACAAAGAGAAAAATAAACACTCTTTCACTAAGTTGGACACAAACAGTCCCTCTTATCTACAATAGTCCCATGTGGTCACATGACTGGACAGCCACATGGCCTGTCTCTCTCCTCTCTCTCTCTCTCTCTCTCTCTCTCTCTCTCTCTCTCTCTCTCTTTCTCGTGCGTGCACAGCTCAGTCTCGGCGTGCACACGCGCACACAAGCACGTACACACGCAGCTTTCTGACACCCCATGCTGCAAGAGGCCCAGGGAGAGCCTCATGGGGCAAGGACATGAGGGCAACGCCCGCAGACAGCCAGTGAGCAACTGAGGTGCTTGTCCTGCGAGGGCAGGGAACTGCGAGCCGCCGAGAAGCACTGGAGCTGGGAAGTGGGTGCTTCCCAGGCAGGCCTTCGGGTGAGACTGAAGCCTGGGCAGCACTCTGATTCTAGCCTCATACAACCCTGAACAGAAGGCCCAGCTAAGCCATGCCTGGGCTCCTCAACCACAGAAACTGGGAGATGATACATGTGTGGAGTTTCAAGTTGCTGAGGTCGTGGTCTTTTGTTATGTAGCAGTAGCTGACTGATACAGATTTTTTAGCTGAGAGACACCTTGCCATAGAGTAAGACACAGTGAGAACAAAACAGGTTCACAGATTCTCTCCAATAAATCAAGTCACTCACTTCCGAAAACACAGGCACTTACAGTCACACTCATGCTGTTACATCACAAATATTCTGACCTTTAAACAACAATACCACCGACCCCTATGTTATTAAATACACAGACTGTCACATGCGCGTACCACCCCAGTGACAGACACACACACACACACAGGCACACACAGACACATATATAGACACATTGGCCCCTACACAGCCATTTGCACAAATGCACCATCCCATGGTCACCCCCAACCCTAGCCTGTCATTGTCAGACACAGTCCCACAAGTGTAGAGATATCTAGACATGTACACCAAAACACTCAGAATCTCATGGTTGCAGAGACACCCCAACTGCAAGACACAAGCCTTCCTGGGGTCCCCCTCTCAGGGGTACAGGTGGTGGGAGGAAGTGGGCTAGGCAGGGTTCTGCCTTACCCCTCTGGACAGGGCCCCAGGTACCCCACCCAGCACCCCAGACCCCTGCCTGGGGCTCAGTGGTGATGCGCTGTGCCAATCTTTATAGGCCGTGTCCAGGAAAGCCCCCCATTTTCACACCGGGCAGTCCCCAAGTTGTGCTGTGGCCATTGGCCAGTCCTGGGCCTCCCTTACCTGCACCCCAGGCCCAGGCTGGGAGAGGAGTGGGGTTCTGGGCTGGCAGGGCACTGCTGCAGGCCCTGTGGTTATTGCCTGGTGGCCTGAGGTCCATCCTGCAAGCCACTCCCCCCCAACTGTGGAGACAGACATGAGAGGGGTGGTCCAGGACCTGGGGCAGGGAGCACAGGCCAGAGGTCATGAGGGGTGGAGGTGGGGAGTAGGAGGCGTGTATGTTTAACACCAAGTAGGAGAAAACAAAAGTTAAGGTTCCTGTGCATTTCAACTTGTCCCTCCCCAGCAAGGTCACAGTGATCTAATGGGTGGGGGCAGCACAGGTCTGGCTGGGGGCACCCAAGGGAAAGGACCAGAAATGGGGGTCCTGGGAGAAACAGAGACAGGCAGAGATGGGAAAATCCAGTGTCCTCGGTCCCCACAGGGACAGACAGCTTCCCCATTTCCCCATGTGCAGACCAAGGGGGCCATTTCTAGCACTTGGCTTTGGTGGGTACAGACAGGAGGGTGGGGCAGAGAGACAGCAGAAGGCAGAGGGGTGCACAGAGCTGGGTTGGAGCCCCAGACCCGCAGGGCTCAGAGTCCCCATCGGGGATGTTGGATGATGGCAGAGAAGTGGACGTGAGAGGGAGAGAGAGGAGGGGAATTGGGGAAGGATGGGGAGAGGAGGAAGGCAGTGGCTGCAGGATGGTGTGGGGAGAGGCATGGGGCCAGAACAAGGACCAGGACAGGGGCTGTCTGCAGGGGGGCATCCCAGGCTCACATGAGGATGCATTTGCCCTTGATGCGGTCTGTCCTCTTCTGTTTGCTGGAGCGCTTTCCATCGATGTTGAGGCTCATGTTCCGGCGTGTCTCCAGTGTGAGCAGCTCCTGGAAGAGCTCCTTGACATTGTAGTTCATCTTGGCCGACGTCTCCATGAAGGCGCACTTCCACTCCTGGGCCACCGCCTGGGCCTCACGGGTGTCCACCTCTCGCTGCGTCTCATCACACTTGTTGCCCACCAGCATGACTGGGATGTCCTCCACGCTGCCCTTGATCTGCACGATGAGCTGGTAGATGGGCCCCAGCTCCTCTAGCGACTGCTTGCTGGTGACGGAGAAGACCAGGATGAAGGCATGGCCCTTGGAGATGGAGAGCCGCTGCATGGCCGGGAACTGGTGGCTGCCTGTGGTGTCGGTGATCTGCAGCGTGCACACGCTCTTGTCACAGCTGATCACCTGTCGGTAGGTGTCCTCAATGGTGGGGATGTAGGTGTCTCGAAACGTGCCCTTCACGAAGCGCAGCACCAGCGAGCTCTTGCCCACGCCACCCGCACCGAACACCACCACCCGGTAGTCATTACTCTGCTCAGGCATCTTCCACGCCGGGGGTGGAGGTCGGAGCCGGGAGGGCTCGTGCCAGCTGCCAGAACCCCAGGCCGACCCTGTACAGAGAGGAGTGGCAGATGCAAAAGGCCACCTGGCCTGGAGGGAACAGCTCTAGACCTGGGGGCAGGAGGGAAGGCTTCTCAGAGGAGGTGGCCTTTCTCCTGTGTCCTGGGAAGGCCCTTCTGGTTGATTTGGCTGACTGTGCAGTTCTGCCCTGCATGCAGGCTCAGAGCCAGCCCCCTCTTCTGGTTTTCCCCTCAACAGAATCTGAGGCCTAAGCTCCTTCCCAGGGACTCTGGGCTGGCAGAGAAGTGAAGGTGACTCCTTGCCCCACATGCATGCTCCCCCAGCCACTCACCCAGGCTGCAGGGGCTTTTCCCTCTCTTCTCGGCTTAGCCGTGGGCTCCTGCAAGCCAGCAGGCCTGGATCTGTGGCCGGGGCAAGCTGCTAAGCCTCAGTTTCCCCCTCTGCAAAGTGGGTGACATGGTGCCTCGCTCCAAAAATCACAGGCTCCCTGCTCTCCCATCAGCCCAGAGGCTCCTCAACCTTGTGGGACATCTTTAAAATGCAGCGTGCAGGGCCTCAGCCCTGGAAATGATTAATCAGCTGGCCAGGGACATGACCCTGGGCACCTGCATCTTAAAGCCATTCTCCTGCCCTCATGCCGTAAGCTTGATCCGAAAGCTGGAGGCTCCAGAGCCCCAGTGTGCAAATCATGACACTGATTCCCCACAGCAGCCCTGACAGGCAGGGATGCACAGCCAGGTTGGGGATGAGAAAAGTAAAACTGAGGCCCAAGAGAAAAATACCTGCTCCCTAAACTCTGTACCCAGACCGTGGCCCGCCCGCCGTGGCCTCCCATTCAGGTCCAATATACCCATAGCCACAGGCACAAAGCTCCCCAGAGGGGGTCCTCTTATCATCTCTCCCTCTCCTGAGCTCAGAGAGGTCCATCAGCCTTGGGAAGTCACAACGCATAGCAATCCCTGCAGTGATGGAGGTGGGGGGGGCCCTAGAATGGGGATGGGAGCAGGAGGCCGGCTCCAGCATCTGTATCCTTCTCTCTAAAGAGCAGGAGAGAACCCCATCCCTTCCCCCTTCCTCACTTCAGCCAAGTTTCTTTCCCCCAGCATCTGTATCCTTCTCTCTAAAGAGCAGGAGAGACCCCATCCCTTCCCCCTTCCTCACTTCAGCCAAGTTCCTTTCCCCGGAGGTGTGTGTGTGTGTGTGTGTGACCCGATGATGTGAGTCTGGTGGCAGGAATGTGGGCAGGTAACTTGGTGTCTTTGAGCCTCAGTTGTCTCTGTGAAACTCAGTGCCCACTCCCCAGAGTTGCAGGGAAGAGGGCGTAATAAGCTGGAGAAAGCCCTTAAGCAGGTGCTTGGCACAAGGAAACCTTCTATAAGGGTGGATGATCAGCATTATTGATCACAGGAGCTCAGAGTATGAAGCACTCAGCCTGTAGTGGGCTGGGAAGGCACGTTCTGAATGATCAAAAAGTACCAGGTTTGTCAGAAAAAAAGATATACAATAAAAGTAATAGCCGGCACATACTCCATCAATTATGTGCCAGCCAAACTTCCAGGAGCTTCAGCAGTACTAACTCATGATTGACTGCTAGGCATGTTGGTGACATGTGTGGCAGTGCTCCACACGAGAGGACACTCGGTGGGGGGCTGGCAAGGGGTGCCAGCCAGCCCTGCAGTCACTGCCCTTTCTGGATGGGTACACAGTGTGCAGCCAGGCACCACCACAACTGGCCTGGGGAGCTGGTGTGGCCAGTGACAATCAGTTGTGCTGCCCCACACCCAGCCCTAGCTTTGCCCTGGGTGCAGACCCCCTGGCAGGGGTCCCGGCCAGTCAGTAGGGTATCTCCAGAAGAGGCTCCTCTGGGGCCTGGGATCTCTGACTAGGAGCCCCCACTCAGTCACCGCTAGTCCATGCCAGGCACCCATTTGAAAGCCACCTTCACCTCCTGCAGGGCAGGAGTGGGGGAGGGGGTCTCAGGCACAGAGGGTTGGAGGGGGAGGCACTGGCTCAAGGTCACAGAGCAGGGAGGTGGCAGAGCAGAGCAGGATTTGAACTGGCCCTGGTTGGCCTCACAGCTGGGAGGCCCCCTCCTGTGCAAAGCAGCCCACCCTGAGACTCCCCAGGAGGGAATGGGCCCAGCTCTAGGTCCCCAGAGCCCAACGGGGGAAGTTGCAGCAACCTTAGGTGCAAGAAAGCAGGCTGGGCCCAGGGGAGGGCCTGGGGGAGGTACTTGCCTAAATTGGGGGATGGGGGTGGGGCAGGGGTCTAACCAGGGACTTATGAGAGGCTTGGTGGGAGAGGGCCTGCTCTAGGGGGCTGAGAGAGACACACTCAGGGGGTCCAGCCCAGGGGCCCCCCTTGGCCAGAGGAGGATCTAAGTAGTAAGGGAGGGAGCCAGACCCGTGAAGGCTCCTGAGTGAGGGGCTTGACTGGGTGGAGAGGACAGGAGGGCTAGGCGGGCAGCGGTGGGGGAGACAGGCCCAGGGCCCGAGTGGCTCCCCGTGGAGGGGTCCTGGCTGAGCGGGACGACCAACCCCGACAGCGGG